ATGGCTCTTTTGTGAAATTGATTTTGGAACCATATATATATCTTACATACATATAAAACAAACAAACAAACAAACAAACAAACAAAAAACATTTGAAAGCAATCACTAAATACTGAAAGCAAAATGAAATGAATGACTCAAACTGTATACTGAAATAGTGGCATGAGCACATACTGTACATCTCCAGTACAGTATATACCCTAAGGGCTGAAAAAAAAAATTGCAAAAATCTTAAACTATTTTCAGTATTCATATGGTTCATGGTAATATTGGTACTGTAATCTTGAGACTGTTTCATATGTACCGGAGACAAAGCAAATGAATTACTGGTAATCAAGGTTTTCAGTATGGAAAAAAGGAGATGAAAGATAGAAAGGTTAAACGGACACTTTGCATACTGGATTTTAATGAGAAGTGTCAGCATGCACTCATGCACTATACTTTACTTGTTAAATACATAATATATAAATAAATATATTTTTGTACATATTTTTCTTAGTTCTGTCCACTGGAAAGGCCTAGAAATGATGACCAACCCATTGGCGAGTACTTAGACTGAAGTTTATATCACTTCCCACTTAAAGGAACCAAGGCTTCTTGCAGAAATTAGATTTGGGCAAATTAGATTAAGCCAGATCAGGGACAGGAAATTTACAAGATGAATCTGGTCTATCGTGTCATGCCAGACATCAAGGAACTACTAAGGACAACTGAGGTCATGCCAGCAGAGCTCAGGGGCCAGTATGAAGAGGCTAAAGATGGGAAAATTTTGAACATCAATAATAACAACTGCAAGTGATTAAAAGATGTTCAATTTGTTAGATCCCATGAATTTGAAATGATATGTAGTCCTCCTCTCTCCCCACCTTCAAAAAAAACCCACAAACCTTACTGGTCACCTTTGGAGGATGCTAGGTAATCACTTCTTCATTTTGAAAACCGGTAAATAAAAAGAAAGTATATGATATTTATCCTTCCCTTTTTGGGCAAATTACACCTCAGGATTATCAAATGAGTGTTGAGAAATTTTTCTTTCTAGCTACTAAACGAAGAAGGAATGATAAAATTAGAACATAACTATTTGCAATTCTAAATTATGAAATAATGAATCTAGAAAATAATCATGAATGGATGTGAATATCCAAGAAAGAGATAATGAAAGATTTCCTGTGCTTTTTGATAGACATATATGCCACCATCTACAGAGCATTATTACCAAAAAACACACAAAAAACCAAAAAACAAAAAACCTCTAACTATCTAGTTACAAGAAATTTAACAGAGGAACATGTTAAATGTTACCATGGAGATTTCATCAACCAAATCCAAGCTGTTAGAAACACTACAGGATAAGAACCTAGTTTCTTTAACAAAGGTGGGGGAGGCAGGAGAGCAAGAGGGTGGAGAAGGTAACCTATAGATTTAAAGAAATTTAGAGTCATAACAACTATTTATCGATAGTATGGACCTTACCTGAATTCTGACTTAACCTGTAGAAACACACAGATTCACTCCAGACTCACCCAATTAGGGACATGTGAACACTGCTTGAGTATTTAATACTCAAAGAATTACTGTTCATTTTGGGGTATTATAATGATACTGTGATTATGGCTATATAAAGGAGACCTTTCTTTTAGAGATACATACTGAATTATTTTTGGATAAGATGATAAAACGTCTGGGATTGACTTCAAATAACCTGATGAAGAGGAAGTAGGTAGCCTATAGATAAAGTCGGGTTGTCTGTTAAGTTGGTAGTTCTTTAAGCGGGGTGGTGGGTACTGGTCTATCTGAACAACTAATAGGGTATTCAAAGAAGTGAATTTAAATACAAGATTAAATAAAAAAAGTTTTGGCAATTATCATGAAAAAGTGGAAAGACTTGGCAAATGCCATGTATGTATCACAAAGTAGACTGCCAAGGCAAAGCAAACATGTTCTTTGGGAGGTTGAATGCTTATAAAATAGTGGTCATATCTATTCTAATTAGTCCCTCATGCTTCACTGGTATGATAGGTTCATGCTTCCTACATATGCCTACTTTCAAAGAGACAGTCATCATAGGCTGACTCTCTCAGGTGAGAATATATCCCACCATAGTCTAGAAGCAGCCACCAAACGAGAGGTGGCTGTGGTGACAGCAGGAGATATGGTAAGAGAATGCTGTGGGTAGAGTCTGACTATAGATTTGGTCAGTGTAGTCAAGGTGGGGCCTTTTCCCATGGATATATGAACTCACAGGGTTCCAAAGCTTCTCCATGAATCTGTACAAGTGAAGCAACATGAAGAAGAAGGACATGCTGTCAACAAACTGGGAAAGAAACCCATTAGTAGAAAAAGAAGTCTAATATCTTATAGAGCTAATGCAGTTTATTTTTATTTGTTTTTGTTGGCATCATTATATGTTTTAAATGATAACACTGAATTCTGATTTAAAAATTTTAAAAACTAATTTTAAGACCTATAAGGAGAATAGTATTCTAATTAGAGTAGGCTAAACTATGATACGAAGACCAGGAATTGTGAAAAAAAAGAAGTTATGAATCTTGAAATATAAAAGTAGGGTTTGCTACTCTACTACTTATTCATGGATACATTATTTTAGTTTTATTCTTTTTTTTAACCCCATGAAAACCTGGAGTTTATATCAATGGTTTTCAAGGGAGGAGTGCATTTTTCACAGGATATAGGAAGGAATAAGTATTTGGCAGCTACAATTTAAAAATAACTATGGGTGGTTTTGATAGACACTATGTATATCAGGAGGACCACTTCTTTCTTGGAGGTCCCTGTAGGGTGGCTGGCTGAAGCCTATATGCAGCCAAAATGCACCTGAGATCATCAACATGGACGGGTGGCCATTACTAATTCAAACACCCCTTTAAACTAAGCAGAGCTGCCATGTTGGACAAAGGATAATGAAATCCCCCTGTACTCCATCACAACTCACACCACCTCCCTGTCTGCACAGCATAGAGGCAGCTTTGAGCTGTGTAGACAGTAGGAAGAGGACCAGAGGAGACCCCATTGTAGGCCATCTGCCCACATGTGCATGCAGATACCTGCACTGCTCCCATTCGGTTGAAGGATGATAACAGGCAAATGTTTGCAGTGCTCTTGTCAGTCAAACTTGTGAGCACCACAGAAAAGGGCTGGAAGAAAAGTGACCAGACAACAAAACCACTTCTTGCATGTCTGCAATCTTCTTTCATCCCCTGATATGCTTGAGACTATTATGACTTCTGATAATGCTTTACTAGTTCAGTTTGAGCAAAACACGCAGACCAATGACAGCATCACTCACAAGCAATCCTGAGTTTCATTCCTGTAATGATCTCTCATGCCAGATAGGCCTGTTTCTTTGATAATTACAGTGTCCACAAACTTGTTCTTTCTCCAATAAGAATGGGGGGCTGTTTTAAGTAGGTAGCAGCTTCTATGCAGCACAGTCAAAAATATAGTGCATTGGGCTGAAATGAGTTGTTAAATGCTACACATCTTATGATTATGAAGCTGGATTAGTTTCTAAAATCCTTCCCAGTGAGGACTCACCTAATTACACATACACAGTGAGGCCTATACAGTTTATAAAAGGACCTGGACAGCAGTGAAAAGAAGTGCCCTCCCTTCATCCCCCATCACCAATATTCTACACAACCCACAAAATGAAAAGCCTTGATAATATCAGGTAATGCTTCATCTCTGTTAACTTTCAAATTATTTAAAGTCACAAAAATTAATGTTTATATTTAATATTAAAAATTTTATCCATAACAAAGTTAAAACCAAATTATTTACTTTAGTTGAGCTCTAAAAGTTCTTTATATGTTGGAGTAATTTCTTCTCCTACTACTTTATTAATATTACTCTCCTAAATTTCCTTACGTAAAGGATTACATTTAGGGCATAGCAGGTGTTAGGAAAATTTAGACTTATGACCAAAGAATTAGAAAACATTTGCAAGTCACATTCATCTTTCCCATTCTATCATCACCATGTTTTTAGGACATCTGTCAATATGTTATGTATTCCAGCATGAGATAGGACTTGAGAAGGAGAGCTGAAATGAGCCCCTCTGTAAAGGCAAAGACTTCTATTTTAGGTACACCAAGGCAGGGACATCTTATCCCCACACACCTAGACATACAGAGTGCCTTTTCGAAGAAGCAGATTTAAGGATCTAATTAGCCAAACTACGATCTCTGCAAGAGGTGAGCAAAAACCTGAGGGCATGGGAAAAAAGAGGAATAATCAGTCTGGGTGGGAAACAAGATATCTAGACTGTCAAGAGCTGAGTGGGCTATTCAGAATGCCTGGCTTAAAAGTACCTAAAACTAAAACAAAACACAACAGAAAGCAAGCCGACGAACAACTAAAACAAAATTTAAAAAATACTCTTTTGAAAGTTCAGTACAGCAGTATCTCCCACAAGGTAACTTGACTTTCACAATGATAATTCAGTTAATTTGGTCTTATTTAAACTATGTGCAGGCATTTTCTTGAGCTAAACTTGGCGAAACAAGGCAGATACGGACTGACGTGTCCGTGCAAAGAAGATCCTTTCACAGCTGAGTATACCATTCACATCAAATCAAAGCCCAAAACACCTGCATAGCCTTGGAAAGTATGAGTATCGGATCGATATTATACAGTTGCCCTCCCTGATCTTACCTACCACTAAATACAGAAAAGCCTTTGATGTGAAAGGTTTTGCCCAGCTATCATAAGCATTTCCCACAGAGCAAATCTGAAAGAATCCCTAGAAAATTTTCAATTCTTAACTACTAGTAACATATTTACATATTTTTAAGTTTACTGGAATTATTATTTTGACCACTTCTAAAAATATAAGCCCTCTCCTATGTCACTTAGTGATAAGGCAATCAAATCAACCAAAGTTCTTAGTCAAAGCTGACAAAGAGGTGAGTTAAATGAGTTCAAAATATTTGAAGGTAGAATATCTAAGTATGCGTACAAAATGAAGTTGTAACACTTACCTATCAGGCCCTTCTCCAGAGTGAAGGTTTTGTTTGTAAACATACATTCAAAAGCCACAATGTGAAAAATCTTGTTCACTGTGTTGTGAGTCCCAACTATTCGAATATACCTGGGGGTAAAAAAAAAAGAAAAATTGTTGAAGATAAGCTTCTATCACAACCAATCCGAAAATAACAGAAAAAGATACATTACATAAACATATAGTATACCAGAGCATGGACTAAAGGAGACTTTGAACTTGGCTTCAGTCCCTGTACCTGTTTCTTAGGGCTACCTCCAACTGAGCCTAGAAGAATTACAGCAAAATTAAGGAGATTCCACTTTCCAGAGAATTAAGTAGAACTTGGATCTGATTTACCCAGAAAATCAAACCAGGTACTGTTCAGTTCAACCCTTGCATGTCAGTACAATTATGTGTCCATGAGACATTTACACTGGAGAATAAAAGTTTCTATGTTTGCCTTGTGGTTAGGAATGTGTCTGTGCACAGGTGCACAAACACGCAAAATCAAATGCTTTCCAACTCAATGAAAGATTTCATCCATTGGAGACAAATGCATGAAATCAATATTGCTCTCTTGTTTAAAAGAAAAATCTACAGAAACTACTTGTATTTTAACACTGCTCCCAAATCCTTGTTATGAAGTTAACCCTATATACTTACCCCAGCCCCCCACTTGACTGCTGAGAAGCCTTCTCCTGACCAAAGGAAGAGATCTGCAGAGGTGACCCAGACACCTCTGCAGCCTTCCTCCTGGCCACACCGTTCTGGCATCTGCGCACAGTGCAGAGTTTCACAGGGCAGGTCTTGAGCATCTTGGCCTGTTCCCCCTGTGTATCTCCCTGGAGGCTTCACCTCCAACAAACAAGCATTAACCTTGGAGTGACTTGCTCCTTTCACTCTCCAAAGGGACCTGACAGTTCACAGGTTAATGAACAGACAAACTCATTCTTCTGAGTGTCACACAAATCCACGGGGAATGTGCCACACACTGTCATACTGGAATTCAAAGGAAAGAACCAGGAAAATTAACTAGATTAACTGATAACGCTCTCCCAAATTATGAACTATGCTCTCTGCAGGATGGGGCATATTAAATGAACAGATTTCAATTAGGAGATGACAGACTGGGCAAGGGCTTAGCTATATCCTCTCTCCACTGTACAAAACAATCTTCGACTTAGATGATACAACTTTACTGAGTTAATCTCTGTTCACTAATTTAGTAATTTCCTTACATTTCTCATCACTCCAAGTTAACTGTATAATGTAAATGCCGACTTAAAAAAATTCACATTAAGGATACTATCTTTGGGGTTTTTATACCATGGGCTATTTTCCCTCCTGTTTCTTCAAGCCTAAATCTCACAGCATTCCCCGTGCACCTCATTTAGCCATCTGCTCTTTGACACGAGCTGATCACTCATCTTCATAACCAATATAAATGCAATCTCCTGGTCTGGCTGCTTAGTGTGCCCACACCCACTGCAGGGAGACACGGTTCTCTTCCTGTGCGGAGAGTCAGGGCAACTAGTGTATCACCAGAGCCCTCAGGTAAAGCAGGAAGTTGGCCCTGATCTGTTCTCGTCAGTCCTCAAGGAAAACAGAAGGTGCTAATTTTACTGGGTTTGGGTGGGTAAGTGAGTTTCATTTAAAATAAGTTCTAAATGGTCTGCGTAGCACAGATTGTGTTGTTCTTTACTATTGGCGGTGACATTCTCCCTGGGCTTTCTGGAAGACAAAGGGTGTGTTAAGTCTGGCACTTTGGCCTGAATCTAATTTTGTCCATTTCCTTAAACTCCCAGGAACTCAACCAGCATAGCATTTTCAACCACTCATGGTCGTCACAGCCTGAGTGCTGCTGTCTGCAACCTTGGAGGGAATGTAGGGAATGTGGTTTGGTGGAATTTGATCAGATCATTTTCCTGTTCCCTAGGTCAAGTCTCTACCAAAGGAGAGACAGCCCTCCTAACACTGCAAGGGAGAGGAGCCAGGAAGTGACTAATAGGGCCTTTCCCATTGGCAGTTCTTAAGCTTAATAGTCCAGCTGATCTAAGGAGATGCAGTAATGTTCTCTCCCTCCTTTCTTTCTTTTTAAAACATTATATGAAACCAGGGTCTCCAAGTTTAGATAACAGTCATTTCCCAAATTTTACCCTGGTGCAAATGTCAGGAATGGGAGAAAACAGGCGACTTTCCACTCCCTCGTCCCCCAATTATAAGAAACTGAAAATAAAAAATTGTACTGGAATACATTTTACAGCCTTAATGATAGTGTTTGTGATAACAAACAAGATAATATATATGATTGGAAAAGCACGAGAGATGCCTCCAGATAAAAAGTTCTATATAAATGAAGATAATGTTATCTCTGCTGCATAATCCTAAAGTCAAATTAGCAATTCACCACTGTATATCACACTTCTTGATTAGCCTGTTTATATGTAATGCTCATAACAAGTTTAATTATTCTAGTTCTACAATACTTTCTAAGTCACCATAAAATTATAGCATAATTGACAAAAATGGCATAAAGTCCTTTTCAAATACATATTTAAAAAAATGGTAA